GCTTCAGATTGACTTCAAATTTGTCTTGTTTGATGAAAACATCTTGGATAATAAATCCTGAAAGTTTCAAGTCGATCTGATACTTTGAAGTATTTTTCAGGATTTTCCAAAGATGATTTAACCTGAATTTTCCAACTTTTTCTGGTATTTAGTTAGAAAAAACCTCATAATTTTATTCCTGAGCTTCAGATTGACTTCAAATTTGCCTTGTGTGATGAAAACATCTTGGGTAATGAATCCTGAAAGTCTCAAGTCGATCTGATACTCTGAAGTATTTTTCAGGATTTTCCAAAGATGATTTAACCTGAATTTTCCAACTTTTTCTGGTATTAAGTTGGAAAAAACCTCATAATTTTATTTCTGAGCTTCAGATTGACTTCAAATTTGCCTTGTTTGATGAAAACATCTTGGATAATAAATCCTGAAAGTTTTAAGTCGATCTGATACTTTGAAGTATTTTTCAGGATTTTCCAAAGATGATTTAACCTGAATTTTCCAACTTTTTCTGGTATTAAGTTGGAAAAAACCTCATAATTTTATTTCTGAGCTTCAGATTGACTTCAAATTTGTCTTGTTTGATGAAAACATCTTGGATAATAAATCCTGAAAGTTTCAAGTCGATCTGATACTTTGAAGTATTTTTCAGGATTTTCCAAAGATGATTTAACCTGAATTTTTCCAACTTTTTCTGGTATTAAGTTGGAAAAAACCTCATAATTTTATTTCTGAGCTTCAGATTGACTTCAAATTTGTCTTGTTTGATGAAAACATCTTGGATAATAAATCCTGAAAGTTTCAAGTCGATCTGATACTTTGAAGTATTTTTCAGGATTTTCCAAAGATGATTTTAACCTGAATTTTCCAACTTTTTCTGGTATTAAGTTGGAAAAAAACCTCATAATTTTATTTCTGAGCTTCAGATTGACTTCAAATTTGTCTTGTTTGATGAAAACATCTTGGATAATAAATCCTGAAAGTTTCAAGTCGATCTGATACTTTGAAGTATTTTTCAGGATTTTCCAAAGATGTTTTAACCTGAATTTTCCAACTTTTTCTGGTATTAAGTTGGAAAAAACCTCATAATTTTATTTCTGAGCTTCAGATTGACTTCAAATTTGCCTTGTGTGATGAAAACATCTTGGGTAATGAATCCTGAAAGTCTCAAGTCGATCTGATACTCTGAAGTATTTTTCAGGATTTTCCAAAGATGATTTACCCTGAATTTTCCAACTTTTTCTGGTATTAAGTTGGAAAAAAACCTCATAATTTTATTTCTGAGCTTCAGATTGACTTCAAATTTGCCTTGTTTGATGAAAACATCTTGGACAATAAATCCTGAAAGTTTCAAGTCGATCTGATACTTTGAAGTATTTTTCAGGATTTTCCAAAGATGATTTAACCTGAATTTTCCAACTTTTTCTGGTATTAAGTTGGAAAAACCTCATAATTTTATTTCTGAGCTTCAGATTGACTTCAAATTTGTCTTGTTTGATGAAAACATCTTGGATAATAAATCCTGAAAGTTTCAAGTCGATCTGATACTCTGAAGTATTTTTCAGGATTTTCCAAAGATGATTTAACCTGAATTTTCCAACTTTTTCTGGTATTAAGTTGGAAAAAACCTCATAATTTTATTTCTGAGCTTCAGATTGAGTTCAAATTTGCCTTGTTTGAAGAAAACATCTTGGATAATAAATCCTGAAAGTTTCAAGTCGATCTGATACTTTGAAGTATTTTTCAGGATTTTCCAAAGATGATTTAACCTGAATTTTCCAACTTTTTCTGGTATTAAGTTGGAAAAAACCTCATAATTTTATTTCTGAGCTTCAGATTGACTTCAAATTTGCCTTGTGTGATGAAAACATCTTGGGTAATGAATCCTGAAAGTCTCAAGTCGATCTGATACTCTGAAGTATTTTTCAGGATTTTCCAAAGATGATTTAACCTGAATTTTCCAACTTTTTCTGGTATTAAGTTGGAAAAAACCTCATAATTTTATTTCTGAGCTTCAGATTGACTTCAAATTTGCCTTGTTTGATGAAAACATCTTGGATAATAAATCCTGAAAGTTTTAAGTCGATCTGATACTTTGAAGTATTTTTCAGGATTTTCCAAAGATGATTTAACCTGAATTTTCCAACTTTTTCTGGTATTAAGTTGGAAAAAACCTCATAATTTTATTTCTGAGCTTCAGATTGACTTCAAATTTGTCTTGTTTGATGAAAAACATCTTGGATAATAAATCCTGAAAGTTTCAAGTCGATCTGATACTTTGAAGTATTTTTCAGGATTTTCCAAAGATGATTTAACCTGAATTTTCCAACTTTTTCTGGTATTAAGTTGGAAAAAACCTCATAATTTTATTTCTGAGCTTCAGATTGACTTCAAATTTGTCTTGTTTGATGAAAACATCTTGGATAATAAATCCTGAAAGTTTCAAGTCGATCTGATACTTTGAAGTATTTTTCAGGATTTTCCAAAGATGATTTAACCTGAATTTTCCAACTTTTTCTGGTATTAAGTTGGAAAAAACCTCATAATTTTATTTGTGAGCTTCAGATTGACTTCAAATTTGCCTTGTGTGATGAAAACATCTTGGGTAATGAATCCTGAAAGTCTCAAGTCGATCTGATACTTTGAAGTATTTTTCAGGATTTTCCAAAGATGATTTAACCTGAATTTTCCAACTTTTTCTGGTATTAAGTTGGAAAAAAACCTCATAATTTTATTTCTGAGCTTCAGATTGACTTCAAATTTGTCTTGTTTGATGAAAACATCTTGGATAATAAATCCTGAAAGTTTCAAGTCGATCTGATACTTTGAAGTATTTTTCAGGATTTTCCAAAGATGATTTAACCTGAATTTTCCAACTTTTTCTGGTATTAAGTTGGAAAAAGCCTCATAATTTTATTTCTGAGCTTCAGATTGACTTCAAATTTGCCTTGTGTGATGAAAACATCTTGGGTAATGAATCCTGAAAGTCTCAAGTCGATCTGATACTTTGAAGTATTTTTCAGGATTTTCCAAAGATGATTTAACCTGAATTTTCCAACTTTTTCTGGTATTAAGTTGGAAAAAACCTCATAATTTTATTTCTGAGCTTCAGATTGACTTCAAATTTGTCTTGTTTGATGAAAACATCTTGGATAATAAATCCTGAAAGTTTCAAGTCGATCTGATACTTTGAAGTATTTTTCAGGATTTTCCAAAGATGATTTAACCTGAATTTTCCAACTTTTTCTGGTATTAAGTTGGAAAAAACCTCATAATTTTATTTCTGAGCTTCAGATTGACTTCAAATTTGTCTTGTTTGATGAAAACATCTTGGATAATAAATCCTGAAAGTTTCAAGTCGATCTGATACTTTGAAGTATTTTTCAGGATTTTCCAAAGATGTTTTAACCTGAATTTTCCAACTTTTTCTGGTATTAAGTTGGAAAAAACCTCATAATTTTATTTCTGAGCTTCAGATTGACTTCAAATTTGCCTTGTGTGATGAAAACATCTTGGGTAATGAATCCTGAAAGTCTCAAGTCGATCTGATACTCTGAAGTATTTTTCAGGATTTTCCAAAGATGATTTACCCTGAATTTTCCAACTTTTTCTGGTATTAAGTTGGAAAAAAACCTCATAATTTTATTTCTGAGCTTCAGATTGACTTCAAATTTGCCTTGTTTGATGAAAACATCTTGGACAATAAATCCTGAAAGTTTCAAGTCGATCTGATACTTTGAAGTATTTTTCAGGATTTTCCAAAGATGATTTAACCTGAATTTTCCAACTTTTTCTGGTATTAAGTTTGAAAAGACCTCATAATTTTATTTCCGAGCTTCAGATTGACTTCAAATTTGCCTCGTTTGATGAAAACATCTTGGGTAATAAATCCTGGAAGTTTCAAGTCGATCTGATACTTTGAAGTATTTTTCAGGATTTTCCAAAGATGATTTAACCTGAATTTTCCAACTTTTTCTGGTATTAAGTTGGAAAAAACCTCATAATTTTATTTCTGAGCTTCAGATTGACTTCAAATTTGCCTTGTGTGATGAAAACATCTTGGGTAATGAATCCTGAAAGTCTCAAGTCGATCTGATACTCTGAAGTATTTTTCAGGATTTTCCAAAGATGATTTACCCTGAATTTTCCAACTTTTTCTGGTATTAAGTTGGAAAAAAACCTCATAATTTTATTTCTGAGCTTCAGATTGACTTCAAATTTGCCTTGTTTGATGAAAACATCTTGGACAATAAATCCTGAAAGTTTCAAGTCGATCTGATACTTTGAAGTATTTTTCAGGATTTTCCAAAGATGATTTAACCTGAATTTTCCAACTTTTTCTGGTATTAAGTTGGAAAAAACCTCATAATTTTATTTCTGAGCTTCAGATTGACTTCAAATTTGCCTTGTGTGATGAAAACATCTTGAGTAATGAATCCTGAAAGTCTCAAGTCGATCTGATACTCTGAAGTATTTTTCAGGATTTTCCAAAGATGATTTAACCTGAATTTTCCAACTTTTTCTGGTATTAAGTTTGAAAAGACCTCATAATTTTATTTCCGAGCTTCAGATTGACTTCAAATTTGCCTCGTTTGATGAAAACATCTTGGGTAATAAATCCTGGAAGTTTCAAGTCGATCTGATACTTTGAAGTATTTTTCAGGATTTTCCAAAGATGATTTAACCTGAATTTTCCAACTTTTTCTGGTATTTAGTTAGAAAAAAACCTCATAATTTTATTCCTGAGCTTCAAATTGACTGCAAATTTGCCTTGTATGATAAAAACATCTTGGGTAATAAATCCTGAAAGTTTCAAGTCGATCTGATACTCCGAAGTATTTTTCAAAGGTGATTTAACGTGAATTTTCTAACTTTTTTGGGATCAGACGGGAAGGCGGGTCTTGTTTACATACCTCTGATCCATCCCCCCCATGGCCAATGAGGTTACATCAGTTTATGAATGAGATGTGTTAAAATGTCATTGGTTTAAATATGTATAGTCTTACCTAATAAAGGACTGGCATTTTGTCTATAACTATTGTAAAGCGTATTTTTCGATGTAGGACTCGGACTGGCATAGCGATTGGTGGGACTCTGCCGGTAAGCGTTGGGACTAGAATTCGACGATTTGTGTCTGCGCTGCGTACCTACGCGCATCATAAACGGAGACCCTTTGGCATCGTATCCATTGAAATATACGTAAACCTAAAAAAAAGAATCTTGTCTCAACTGCATCATTTTTACATGAAAATTATTACCCTATGTTTTCCAGCTTCCTTTGGAGTAAAATGAACCCGATAGTGAAAACCTTGACTATCCACCTTTTCCACATGACAATGCACTGACCTTTTATCATGGACAATGTCAGCAAAAACTTCCCCTACAGCTCCGACATTTCGACAGTCCAATTCTATACTGTGCGGAATCAAAGGTAGAGCTCCTTCCAAGTTGGAAACTTTCAGACCGTTCGGATCGAATACTGAACATGTAAATGGACCACCCTGTATAAAAAACATATTATTAAAAATCGGTTGTAATTATTAGATTTATGAAAAAAAATTACTTGAATTTGTTTGCCCTGATAAGTGATTTCGATCCTCCATTCCCCGGGTTCGTCCGGCTTGAAAGTGGCACTGTTGGTACCATCTATTGTGGTCAAAGGACAGTCCAGTGGTCTTCCTCTAGGACTGTAGGCTGTCACTAGGATATCTTCACGTTTTGGAGCACCTGAAACAATTTTAGTACAATACGTCAGGAGGTTCCTGAACCTGAAAATGAATCCATACATAAGGCACAGGAAAGACTTATTGAAAATAAGAAAAAATAATTGAATTAAGATCAAAATATAACTTGTTACTTACCGGTAGCATTAACCAGTACTTGTACCAAAGACCCCAAAGCACAAGGAGCCATTCCAGGCGGCGCCACTTCCACTAAAGGCGGCAGTACCCTAAAGTAATGCCCCGCCAGTACTTCCTGATTCTCGTAGTGCACTACCAGTTCGTGCATGCCAATTTTGGCCGGTACGAACGTACCACGGCCATTATTATTCAACCTTTTCTCTTGATAAAGTTTGTTGTCCGGCCCGCGAATTTCTACCGAGACTTTGTTGTAGGACAGTTGAGAGTCTAGAAGAGTCACTTGGTAATGAGTCTGTAATTTAAACAATCGATTATTAATGCTCGTTTTTTAAAAGGAAATACGATAATTGAATACTAATTAAGCGGAAAAACAATAGTCTTATCTATAGTACTTTATAAGGTAGTAGGTAATTATTATACAGGGTGTCCTTAGATGAATTGACACATTAATATACTTGCAAAATGTTTATTTAATGCCACCCTGTACAATGCACTCACTTGTTCTCCAACTCTTCCAGAAGTCGAATTCAAAGTAACATTAATTAAATCGTGTAAGGGTGGACGTTCTGGTACCCACTGGAAATGTGCCACATACGCCATGACACCCAAATGTTCCACATTTTTGTCCGCCATGTCTTTGGCTGACAAAACTGGCTGGACACCTGGAACAAAACTTATCCATCTCTGGAACACTAACAGGAAAATATTTACCAAGTCTTTTTCCAGCCTCCAAAGCTTGATGCAGATTTTGTTCCCAATACGCTGAGTCGGTTCTGAGTTTTTCTGGAGCTGTTGCTGAACCGCCCAAGGATCTGATGATTTCGCTCAGAACTCTACCATCGTTCCACTCGCTCTAAAATAATACCAGAATAAGTAATTTCCAAAACATTATTGCTATTTACTCACAGTGAAATTTTGTACAGATCTTTCCAGTCTGGAATTGGCCCATCGCAATGTAGCCTGAAATCCAGGCGATCCAGGTTTCATGAAATACGACAAATACGTCATTCCTGAAAGCTCATCCAACCATGGTGAAGCCAGATATTCTGGTTCCAATACCGCTGGTATTCCAAGATCTTTTTGGGCAATATTCATTGCTCTACGACAATTTTCGATACCTTGGGCTTTATCTGAAAAACATTTACTATACAATAATACAGGGTGTCCACATTTGGAAATTAAATACCTAATCGTCTCCAATGTGGGAACAATCCAGGTCGGCAATAATCCACAAGAGCGGATAAATTCACTCCGGAATTCCAGTCGGTAGTCAAATTGGAAACTTTGCATTCTGGCAACACCGCTTGGAGCCAAGCGAGCATCAATTTTCTGGGCGGGAATTTCGATCGGCCGATTTGGTAGCGCACGATCAACGACCAAATCAGACCGAGGATGAGTTTCAGGTTGCCGTTGACGATGTCCAGATTTCCTAGGGAAAAAAAAACAAATGTGGCAACATTGCTAGAAACACGTTGCAGAATTGCCCGATGTTTCTCAACTTCGGACACGCTGCTCTGTATATTATTTGGAAATTGTTCATGTTCATGTCAATATCCAGATTTCCTAGGGAAAATCAATTAAAAACTCGGGCAAATGTGACAACGTTGCTAAAACCTCGTTGCAAAATATTAAAACTTGTTTGAAAGTTTTTTTTTTTACACAAAGTGTCCAGAATAACATAAAGTACAAGGGGATTTTGGAAACCATTGAATATACAGGGTGGACCAAATGAACTCAAAATAGTAACGGATATATACAGGGCAGAAAAGATAAAAGTGTGTATGTATTTTGTAGTTCAAATTGCTCCATATTCTCCAACTCAAGTTATTCCGGACATATACAGGGTGTATATTATTTGAAAATTGTTCATGGTCATGTCAATATCAAGATTTCCTAGGGAAAATCGAATAAAAATTTGGGAAAATGTGGCAATGTTGCTAGAAACACGCTGCAAAATTTTTAAACTCATTTTTTATACAAGGTGCCCAAAATAACGTAAAGTACATGAAAATTTTGGAAACCATTGAAGATACAGAGTGGACGAAATGAACTCAGAATAGCAACGGATGTATACAGGGCAAAAAAGATAAGAGTGTGTGTGTATTTTGTAGTTCAAATTGCTCCATATTCTCCAACTCAAGTTATTCCGGACATATACAGGGTGTATATTATTTGAAAATTATTCATGGTCATGTCAATATCAAGATTTCTTATTCGAGTAAATGTGGCAACATTGCTAGAAACTCGTTGAAAAATATTGAAACTCGTTTGAAAGTTTTTTTTTTTTATACAGGGTGTCCAAAATAACATGAAGTACAAGGGGATTTTGGAAACCATTCTAGATACAGGGTGGACCAAATAACAGAATAACAACGAATATATAAGGCAAAAAAGATAAAAGTGCACATGTATTTCGTAGTTTAAATTGCCTCATGTACTCAAACTCAAATTATTCTGGACGCCCTATACATTATTTGGAAATTCTTTCTGTTCATATCAATATCCAGATTTCTTAGGGAAAATCGATAAAAAAAACTCGAGCCAATGTGGCAACGTTGCTAGAAACACGTTGCAAAATATTAAAACTCATTTTTTATACAAGGTGTCCAAAATAACATAAGGTACATGAGGATTTTGGAAACCATTGGTGATACCGGGTGGACCAAATGAACTCAGACAGAATAGCAACTGATATATACAGTGCAAAAAAGATAAAAGTGCGTATGTATTTTGTAGTCTAAGTTGCTCCATATGTTTCTCAACTAAGTTATTCTGGACACCCTGTATATTATTTGGAAATTGTTCATGTCAATATCCAGATTTCCTACAGAAAAACGTATTAGAAACTCGGGCAAATGTGGCAACGTTGCTAGAAACTCGTTGCCAAATATTAAAACTTTTTTCATACAGGGTGTCCAAAATAACATGAAGTACATGGGGATTTTGAAAACCATTGAAGATACAGGGTGGACTAAATGAACTCGGAATAAAGGTGCATGTGTTTTCTTTAGTTTAAATTGCCCCATGTACTCCAACTCAAGTTATTTTGGACACCGTGTCTATTATTGTCAATATGACTTTTTTGATTAATTTTGTTATTGTTGTTTGCATTAATGTATTTTTTTATTTTATTAATTTACCTATGAATACAGGGTGGACCAATTTTCGACACACAGAAAGAGACCTTTCTGATATTATGTATTTTCCGAAATCAGAAAAATAATGACTATTCGATTACCTATTGAAAAATATATATAGGGTGTTCCATTTAAAATAAAAAAATAAGAGTTGTGTCTGCGCGTGCACCCTATAGGTATACCTATACAAGGGTGTTCGGATATTCGACCGACAACGCTTGACAGATAAACGTCATATTTCCATAAAAATTTATATAGAAACATGCCGTTTTAAAATGCTCAATTTTCTAGATACAGTGTGTCAAAATTTTATTTTTATTTTCGATTTTTTGTCAATTATTCCTCAATACTTAAGGCGTAAAATAAAAATTTATTAACGGTATTAATATAAGTAGAAGTTTGACACCCTGTATATGAGACTACATGTTTCTATCTTAATTTTCATGAAAATGCGACGTCTGTCATCTGTCAAGCAAGCGTTGTTTTTTGAATATCTGGACACCTTGTATATTGTTCAGCTCAGAAAAAGAATTGTCCATTTGATTAATAAAAAATATACAGGATGTTTCATTATTTTTTAAAAAAATACAATTTGTGGCTTCATTCAATATGGCTTCGTGGGAATAATAACACACATGATAACTGTAAAAGTACGTTTACATTTAAATTGTTATAAATTTGAATTGAATGTAAACGCACCTTGACGATCAATAAATTTGTCATGACAACGTCGCCATCTTGTATGATTAGCTGATTCAAATTGTCTAACTGAAGATAAGTTCACAGGGTTGCCAGATTGTTTTTTGAAATTATTTAATATGGCCTATATTTATTTCAAACATGGCAACATTGAAAAATGTACAGAAATGATAAAGACAAACTGAGGCATGCGAAAAAAAAAGAGACCGACAACAATCAGAAAAACTTTCTGAAATTCCCTTATTTAAATGTGTTGAAAAGTACTTTTAGTTTTGGTAGGTTGGCAACAGTAATTTACTAAGTGTGACGTTATCCTAAATATAGCGTAAATATCCTATAGGTTCCTGTCAAACGTTTTTGGTCGAATATCCGGACACCCTGTATATTTTTAAAATCAGGAAAAAAATGTCTATTCGATTGTTTAAAAATATACACTGCTAGAAACTCGTTTGAAAGCTTTTTTTTTAATACAGGGTGTTCAGAATAACATGAAGTACATGGGGATTTTGGAAACCATTGAAGATACAGGGTGGATCGAATGAACTCGGACTAAAGGTGCATGATATGTATTTTGTAGTTCAAATTGTCCCATGTAACTCAAGTTATTTTGGACACCCCGTATATTATTTAGAAATTGTTTATGTTCTTTTCAATATGACTTTTTTGATTAATTTCTAGATTTTGTTATTGTTATTTGCATAATATTTTTTTTATTATTAAAATATGAATACAGGGTGGTCCAATTTTCAATACACAGAAAGAGATTTTTCTGATATTATACCTATGTTTTTTGAAACCAGGAAAAATTTTTTTATTCTATTACCTATTGAAAAGTATACAGGGTGTTTCATAAAAAAAATACGAGTTGTCTGCTGAATCTTTTGCGTGCGCACCCTGTATCCGGATATTCGACTACTGACAACGCTGGACCTTGCACTTCTATAAAAATCGAAATAGAATCATGCAGTCTTAATTTTCAAAATACAGGATGTCAAAGTTTTATTTTTATTTTCGATTTTTGTCCTCAATAAAAAGACATCGAAATTACGTATCGGGGGGTTTGTTAAGACAAATACAATTTCATTCATGGCTTTGATACAAGTAAAAATTTGACACCTTGTATATTGGAAATTAAGCACTTTTAAGACTGCATGTTTCCATCTTAATTTTTATGAAAATTCCACGTCTGTCATTTGTCATTTGTCAAGCAAGCGTTGTCGATTGAATATCCGGACACCCTATATATTTTTGAAATCATGAAAAAAAAGGCTATTCGATTATTTAAAAATATACAAGGTGTTGCATTCAAAAAAATACAGGGCGATTCGATGTTTTGTCAATTCAATATGGCGCCGTGGGAATAATACGCCTGACAACTGTAAAAGAACGTTTACATTCAAATTGTAATCAATTGGAATTGAATGTAAATGCACTTTCACGATTGTCAAGTTTGTTATTACCACGTCGCCATCTTGAATTATCAGCTAATTGGAATCGCCTAATTGAAGATAAGTTCACAGGATTGCCAGATTATTTTTTGAAATTATTTAATATGGCCTCTATTATTTTTATATTTATTTTAAACATGGCAACATTGGAAAATGTACCTGTCAAACGTTTTCGGTCGAATATCCGGACACCCTAGGTCACTCTGTATATTTTAAAAATCAAAAAAAAAAATGTCTATTCGATTATTCAAAAATATACAGGGTGTTCCTTAAAAAAAAAAAAACAAGTTGTGACTTTTCCGTGCACGAGAGGGACGAGGTCGGTTAAATTAGACAAAAGTGTCCATAGGGTGATTTGACGTTCCCTCAATTCAATATGGTGTTGTTCAATTGGAATTTAAAGTAAACGCACCTTTACGGTTAAGTTTGCTATGACCACGTCGCCATCTTGAATTATCAGCTAATTGGAATCGCCTAATTGAAGATAAGTTCACAGGGTTGCCAGATTGTTTTTTGAAATTATTTAATATGGCCTCTATTATTTTTATATTTATTTTAAACATGGCAACATTGGAAAATGTACCTGTCAAACGTTTTCGGTCGAATATCCGGACACCCTAGGTTACTCTGTATATTTTAAAAATAAAAAAAAAAAAATTCTATTCGATTATTCAAAAATATACAGGATGTTCCTTAAAAAAAAAAAACAAGTTGTGACTTTTCCGTGCACAAGAGGGACGAGGTCGGTTAAATTAGACAAAAGTGTCCATAGGGTGATTTGACGTTCCCTCAATTCAATATGGTGTTGTTCAATTGGAATTTAAAATAAACGCACCTTTACGGTTAAGTTTGCTATGACCACGTCGCCATCTTGAATTATCAGCTAATTGGAATCGCCTAATTGAAGATAAGTTCACAGGGTTGCCAGATTGTTTTTTGAAATTATTTAATATGGCCTCTATTATTTTTATATTTATTTTAAACATGGCAACATTGGAAAATGTACCTGTCAAACGTTTTCGGTCGAATATCCGGACACCCTAGGTTACTCTGTATATTTTAAAAATAAAAAAAAAAAAATTCTATTCGATTATTCAAAAATATACAGGATGTTCCTTAAAAAAAAAAAACAAGTTGTGACTTTTCCGTGCACAAGAGGGACGAGGTCGGTTAAATTAGACAAAAGTGTCCATAGGGTGATTTGACGTTCCCTCAATTCAATATGGTGTTGTTCAATTGGAATTTAAAGTAAACGCACCTTTACGGTTAAGTTTGCTATGACCACGTCGCCATCTTGAATTATCAGCTAATTGGAATCGCCTAATTGAAGATAAGTTCACAGGATTGCCAGATTATTTTTTGAAATTATTTAATATGGCCTCTATTATTTTTATATTTATTTTAAACATGGCAACATTGGAAAATGTACCTGTCAAACGTTTTCGGTCGAATATCCGGACACCCTAGGTCACTCTGTATATTTTAAAAATCAAAAAAAAAATGTCTATTCGATTATTCAAAAATATACAGGGTGTTCCTTAAAAAAAAAAAAACAAGTTGTGACTTTTCCGTGCACGAGAGGGACGAGGTCGGTTAAATTAGACAAAAGTGTCCATAGGGTGATTTGACGTTCCCTCAATTCAATATGGTGTTGTTCAATTGGAATTTAAAGTAAACGCACCTTTACGGTTAAGTTTGCTATGACCACGTCGCCATCTTGAATTATCAGCTAATTGGAATCGCCTAATTGAAGATAAGTTCACAGGGTTGCCAGATTGTTTTTTGAAATTATTATATGGCTATTTCACCTATTTATTTTAAACATGGCAATATTGGAAAATGTACAAGAGTGATAGAGACAAACTGAGGCATGCAAGGAGAAAAGAGATCGACAATAGTTAGAAAAACAATTTGAAATTCCCCTAGTTTAAATGCGTTGAAAAGTATTTTCAGTTTTGGTAGGTTGGCAACAGTAATATAAATGAATGTGACATCATTGTTATTCTAAATATAGCGTAAATATCCTATAGGTACCTGTCAAACGTTGTCGGTCGAATATCCGGACACCCTCTGGTCACCTTGTATATTTTTAAAAGCAGGAAAAAAAATCCTATTCGAATATACAGAATGTTTTATTTGAAAAAAAAGAGAAGTTGTGACTTTTCCGTGTACAAGCGAGATGAGGACAGTTAAATTCGACAAAAGTGTCCATAAGGCGATTTAATGTTCTCTTAATTCAATATGGCGTTTGTTCAATTGGAATTGAATGTAAACGTACCGCGTCCGCCATCTTGAATTATCAGCTGCCGGATAGTTTTGGAATTATTCAGGTAATATGTCCTCAAGATTGTTTGAAAGAGGTAAGTTGCTTGATAATTTTATGACGTCATCAGGGCTGCCCATACCAAACATAATGCAAATCTTCATAAGGCACCCCAGATGCGTCATCCAGTTACTCATTACCAGACTTTAAAAGCCTTGATAAATATGGCCCCTACTATTTCTCCTAAATGTTTAATTTAAACATTATAGCAACATTGGAAAACGATAAAGACAAACTGAGGCATTACGCGAGTAAAAAAGAGACAGACAAATAGAGAAACAGTTTATCAGGATTACCAACTTAATTGGAAATTTGACAAAAAAAACAAACAGTGTTGTCTAATTTCTTGTTTGAAAATACCGATTTTTTGGATGATTGGACCCTGTGTCATCCTGTATATGAAAGCTATATTTTCTAGCGGTTTTATACGTGAATCCCTATTTATTTTGTATTTTCTTTCTTTACCATTTGCTTCATCATAAGCGAGCTATATGCTGTCAAAATATACAAAACAAACCCTGTATATAGTATACAGGGAGGCACAATTTTGGAAAAATTAATTTCGGACCGGATTCTGAGCGAGATTCGACCACCACTCTAAGGCTTGAATTTCATGAAATTTTAGTTGGTTTAAACCAAGTGTTCAGAAAATGACGTTACTTATTAAAAGTGTCCCATTAAATTGGACCACCCTGTACATATTATATCGATTTATTATAAACTAATTATTAAAATCAATAATCAAAGTAATTAGCTCTAAATATTCAATTCAAATTGTAATAAGATCCCACACAGTTATTTAAAATTCAAAAATTCCTTATTAGAATTGGAAAATCTTATTCCAACGAGTTCTAATTTTGGAGTCAATTATAAATCGTATTGTAGTGATTGTATGCAATTTTTCTCCGGATTTTGCATTCTATAATCTATTTTCTAACGACTGGGGACTATATAAATCAAATCAAATTCATCAAATTTTAGTCCCTTATACAGAGTGACCCAATAAGCCTCATTTGTACAAACTTTTACAAACTTCTTCAAGAAAACCCACCTGGAAGGCGAAAAATCCCCTCGCTAAACAATGGGTTTTCGGGTTCCATGAGGCGTATTTTTGTAAATTATACCATCCATAGGTGTCGGTAAAAGATTTTGACTATAGGTAAACAATTATTTCTTACCAATATTTACAAGTTTAACACCGTCTTGTTCAATAGCATTTAGAGCCGCAGTAACATTTTCCAAATAATGATGCTGATTGGCCGGCCTTTTATTCCATGCAGGCTTCAAGGGCCTTTTTTGTAGGGCCTCTACAAGAGCGCAAAGTCTCACTCCTGTACAAAGATCCTATATGGAATATAGAGACAATTTAGAATATTATCCAGAATAATCTAGAATAATTTACTTCTGATAAGTCGCTTATCCGTAAATCTTTGGGTAGGTGCTCGTTGACCCAATTCCTAAAGGTGTTCGCCTGTATTTCCACCCACACGTCCTCGTTGCCTTTGATCTGCATTCCGCGGGCCGCGTGACCTTCCGGACTTCGCGCCAATAGACCGGAGTGTGAAATTTTTCCTTCCATACTTTTTTCCTTGTAAAAATGAACCTTCTGGAATTGTCCAGAAACTTTACTGATTAGTTTTTGAGTAAGTTGAAGAAACACTTAATAAAAACACTTTTTTAATGAATCTCTTTGCAATAATTGATCATAACTTATAAATAAAAATTACTAATTAATTATTATAGTCTTCGTTGATCAATTAAAATGCATCAATGACATCATTATTCAACAAAACAAATATTAAGCTCTGTTTACCTGCGGCACTATTTGCAACAACTGCTCCTTTAATTCACTAAAAAATTCACCAAATGCCACACTGAAACACTAAAAACCTCACTTTAGTAGTAAAACTCACTAAAAAACCAATATTATTCTAATTAAGGCCATTATTTATTTTATTTTTTCACTCTCGTGTGTGGTTTGGAATATAAAAACCATTTTCTTTACGTTATTTACCTACTGACTAAAAGCAAAAGTCCGGTCGCTGCTGTAATAATAACCGCGGAGAAGGAGAGAATTGGGTTGTGGTGATGGTACGATGGTCGAGTGACGATGATGGTACACCCATATGGGTATAAAGTTGAAGTTTTCCTTGAAAATGGTTGATTTTGGAATCTCGTCTCATTGAAGACGTTTTCGGAATGCCTTAGTTGTAAAGACGTCTTTAGGCAGACGTTGGATTTTGTAACATAATGTCTTCAAGATTCTTTTTAAAGACATTAAGCAAGATGTTTGGAATATCGTTTGTGGACATTTTAGAGACGTCTTTGAGATGTCTACAAAAAATTTCCGCCAACTTGTAGCTCTCAATTGGAGCTTCAAAAAAGACTTCGAGAGCTTCGTTTTTGACAAAAATGGCTTTTAAACTTTTCCATAATTTGAGACAAAATTTCAACTTTGAGCCTTAATACCTAAAAAACTATAAGAGCATTTATTACTGATTATAAAAATATGATTTGTATTGAAATTTGTGGAATATTAATAAAGTTATGGGCGATTTTGTGAGGCAATGTCAAAAAATCAAAACTTTTTAATAATTTCTTCTCTTTCGATCGGTAAAGTTAAAAATCTGAAAAACCAAAAATTTAAAAAATCTTTCCGAAGGGATATTTGATTTGATTTGATCAACGGCAGTAAGGCAAGGTTTAGTGATTCCCTGACATTGCAGCTAGCATAATCTAGTCTGCTAGTTAGCTTATTATATTCTTTGCTATGTGAATTTCTGCTTAGGTTTGACACCTTCAGACCTTCGCCAGGTGTAGTAGCTTCTCTATTGGTGACTTCAGGGGACCCTCCTCCTGGATCCTTATTCTTGAAACAGGGGAGCAGCGTTCCCAGGAGAACGAGTGTTCTGTCTTTCTCAATGATATGGAAATGATAATGTAACTAACAATGACGGAACACTCGTTCTCCTGGGAACGCTGCTCCCCTATTTCAAGAATAAGAACCCACAGGACAGATGCCTCCTTCAAGATATTTCGGATTCTCCAGTATAAGCGAGAGAGGGGCTGATTCTTATTTTTCGTTGCATAATCTACAAATGGGTTCATCTTGGTAGATTTCCATCTTGTGTAGGTATCTCCTCAGTGTAGGGACCGGTTAAGATTCCCGTCACGATTCTAATGTGGTTCCTCGTGAGCTTTAGAATTTTAGAGGCTACTCTTGTCGTAGGATAGTTCACCATTGCTTTAATGTGGTGTTGCTTCCATATTTGATACCAGTGGTTTTTGTTTTCCTCTCGGAACCACTTATCCAAGCAGCCACATATCGAGGTCCATAAACTGCCTTTCCGATCCTTATCTGGCTAAGGAGTCCGCATTTTCATTGCCAGCAACGCCCGTATGTTACCTTAATTGTTATGGTTGGCTTAGGGTTAAAAGGAGTTACAGGTAGTCCCACATTAATTTATAGTTTATCTGTTCTCTTATACTAGAAATTTAATAGCTGCTTGGCTGTCTAAGAAGATCTTGATATCCTTATGCACATATCCCTTTCTCAGATTTTCCCGCAGGTATATCTCTATTGCATGTATTTCGCCTTGGAATACGGTGGTGTGCTTTGTGCTTCTCCAGTAGAGAATACCATTTTGATCTTGGAGATAGACCATATACTCCGGCACCGGTTCCACTGTCGGTTTTGGAGTCATCAGTGTACCATACTAGCTTTCCATTCTGGACTAGTGAGTTTTCTCTTTTGTTTTCCCAGTTAATCTGGGTTTGAAAAGGTTTTGTGAGTATTTATTCTCGGGGTCATGATGTCACTTCTTATGTCAAATACAATGTTTGACATCCCGCCGCTGGCCTATTCTCTAAAAACAGCAATTACATAGCAACTAGCAACCGGTCGCAAGTTGCTTGTGCGTATTTGTTTTCTCAAAAAAGTGGGTGGGACTAGATCGTCCAGTTTTTTTCTTTTCGTGAAGGGGATTATACCTGTTTTCTTAGAATTGTCCCTTTGACTCAGTCTTCCACGATTTTAGGTAAGCGCTCTTTGCATTTTCGCAAAAGTGGTTTGTAAATTTTGCCCCATGATTACAGTTACTACATTATCTGAGTAACTCTGGGTACCTAGCTCTGTTATGAAGGTCTACTAGGAGTTAGTCTACGATCAGGTCTCACAATAGGGGGATAAGACCCTATCTTCAATGGCCCCTTCTATATCGAGGAATGCTTCAAGGGCTACCTCCATTGTATAATTTGCGAGCTCTATTCTTGCCACCGGTTGGTGTAGGGTCGTTTCGCAAGATTTACCCATTTGGTAGGTATGTTGGTTTTGCTGTAGTGGCTTTTCTTTAAGAGAAGTTTCCCTGTCATATTCATCAATGAGTTTTTCAATCGTCTTCATAATAAAGCAAAGACGATAGTGTAATAGTACCATTCTGGTCTTTCTCCATGTTTTATTTATTTTATTTTACTTATTTACTTACGGGAAAACCCTATTAACTGTTAAATACAATTTACAAAAGAAATATTAAAGATAAAGCTGGACATTAAAGTAGGTATGTAAATAATCTACAACCAGCCAACATGTTGGTAATGGCGTAATTGTAATGACCCTATTTCACAAAAAATATCATACATATTTTAGGTACCTACCTCTTTAATTGTCCAAGAATCAAAATAAATATGTCTATAGTTGTTTTATAAAATGGAATCAGAAATGTTGGATGTCGTCGTAGCCCTCTAGGAAGAAACAATAAAACTAATAAATCTCTAAAAGACTTCGACAGACGACAGTCTAACAAATCATGGGGTCAACAATCTTTATGCCACTTTCAAAAGCAAACACCCTTAAAAATTTGTGTTGCATCCTGTCTAAAGAATCCATGTGAACCTGAAAAGTATGGTGACCAAACCACTGAGCATTATTCTAGAATTGATCTTACCAAAAAACAGTAGACCATCCGAATGGCTTCTACCGAGAAACATTGGCAATTTCTTATTACAAAACCCAACATTTTTGACCCCTTCACAGAACTAACTTGTTCAATAAATGAAAACGTTTCGTCCAAAATACTCCAAGTCCTTAACTGGAGAAACATACTTAAGAGCTTGATTGTTTATAACACATTCGGTTTGAATCTTATTAACATTCCTAGAAAAACTGATATAACAGCATTTGTCATCATTTACAGACAACTTGTTCACCCCACACCACACGGACAAACGATCCCAATCCTCCTACAAAAGATTCTGGTCAACAATGTTTTCAATATTGTTCTACAAAATTTTAGGTCGTCTGTAAATTTTGTGAATCCACTGTTTTTGAAACATGGCATCTATGTCATTGTGACAAAAATATTAGAAAGTAAAGGTTAACAGTGACCGCCTTGAGAAACGCCCTATATAACGGAAACTACCTACCTCTATAAGTAACAACCTACTTTGACAAATTGAGAACAACCTGTCAATGCGCTATGGAACCATAACACAAACCTATTATGAAAGCTAAACTTACTCATTTTCTGCATCGAAAGCTTTAGAAAAGTCTATGTATATTGAATTTACCTGTCTGTGCTGTTCTATGTGGTGCAGAATGTCTGTTTGATATAGCCCGACGTTACTATAGATCTGTTTTAACAAAAGCCATGTTGTTCCTCCGAAATTAGACCCTTGCGCATCCATCTCAATTACCTACTAACTAGACTGTCAAGAAGCTTAGGTAATGCCGACTGAATACAAACGCCACGATAGTTCTTGTAATGATCCGGAAAAAATAGTCCCGATAATTACAATGTCTTTACTGTAAAAATAAAATTTAATCAAACAATCAAAAACTGAATTTCCGATATTTCAAATCAGTATCGATAAATTAAAAATGAAACAAATTGTTTTTCGACACCCAGCCTATGTCATCATCTAAATTAAATTCTTAAAAATAATAAAAACGAGGACAGGGTAATTAAATCGAAGATTAATTGCACGCACGTGTGTCGGCTTTGTTTGTGTTGCCCTCACATTCTTATACTAAAGTTTTTGACCCCGATAAAATCAGGAAATTGCGACATAATTATTCGATTTAAACTAATAAAATGACAAAAATTTCAAGGAGATTTCATTATCTTAATTGTCATTTGGGGGGATCGATTAAATATAAATACCGCGGTTTTAGAAGTGGAAGGCAGTTGTCAGTTGAGTTGCCAGTTGTTAGCAGTCCAGTCCAGTTTGAGTTAAAGTCTGTCCGGTTTCGCGAAAAGTTTCTTTTATGGCATATGGCCTCGGGTTTAATTTAACTTAGAAAGTTTACGGAAAATCGTGAAAAAAATAACATTTGAAATTCGTTCAAAATTATGTGCGGGCTCTAAGTAATCAAAAGAATTAAATTAGATTAGTTTTATGTTTTATGGACAAGATGTAAGTACTTTTTAGTGACGAGATTTATTTTGAATATAAATGATGAACATTTGATGACTTTGTGTGATTAAATTTTGAATTTTATTGCCTAAAAACTTGAGTGATTTTCACTAGAAAAACTTTTTGACTTTATAATTAACTGTGGAACTTTATTGCATAAATATTAATAATTCGATTGTTTTATAAATGGAACATTATTGCATAACTTTAATTGCCTTCAGATATAATGACATCCTAATTTAATTTTGCACCAAAAATATAAAGGGAAATTATAATGCATTTAACATAACATACTAAATATCGATTTGAGTAGGGATTATTAAAGAATTTTGAATTGGATTGTCCAATTGAAGATCAAGGGCTATAGTAACGAACTAATAAGAATTTAAATAATGTTGTATGTTAGCTAGGATGGCGAAAAATAGTAATTGTTCTAATTAAATGGAATAGGAAATTTTGAAAAGAATCTTGATGTTCATTAAATAGAATTGTCTTAAAATATTGGAAAGTTGTTGTTCATGAAATTAATTTTGAATTAGGGTTTTTATTTTTCAAATGGAAATTATTGTAAGGTTTTATAAGAATAAGTTAGTAATACCTATATTGATAAACAAATCGGTAATTCTTTTGGGATTTTCATAAGCAGTCAGTAAAGAACTTAGAAATTTTAAAGAATTTAGAGAAATAAGTGAAGGGTAGTTGATAGGAAGGAATCGGAAGGTTTTAAATGAGTTAACTTATAAATTATTAGGAATAGTAGGAATTTGGCGTTTCTTTATTATAGTAGGAATATTTCAGTGGTCCGTAATAATGACATTTTGAACAGATGTGAAGTAATTGAATTTAGAAAAACAGATGAGGCTGTCAGAATTGGAAGATATTTTGCTGTTTTAAATTTTTGGTTTTATGTATAATAGAATATAATTTTAGTAAACCTCTTTCTCTTTTGCAAATAGACCCTTCCACAATTTTATAGGTAGCACCTACAAGGAAATAAACACCATCAATATAGCGCTCGCCATGAGTACTTGGGGCGTTTTGCTACATTCTCAATATTTTGCTTTAGGCCGCTCTTAAAAATAGGAACGATATAACTTGTCTGAAGTATTTAAAGATTTAAAGATATATAATCAGAATCTTCAATTTGCAATGGCTCTAGAATACTACCGTTGATATACCCGAAAAAAGGGGCACGACACTCAAAAAATTCCCACCTTCGGCGGGCCTGCCTACCGGCCAGCGGCTAGGCTACCCGTCCCTGTCGTTATATACAGCTTTTTGTGACAAGAAATATTATGGCCACCCTACATAAAAAGGGTCTCGCAATTTAGATGTCGCCGACGTCCACATTTGTTTTGACTACGCCACTGGCTGTTAACTGTTAAGCACTTGCTTCTCAACTCAAAGTACTTTTAGAACGACATCTTGCTGCGAACCAAGTACAGTGAACACCTCAGTGAGAAAATAAACCCAATTTAAATTTTGACTTACAATTTTTTGCGTTTTTTATTGCTCCTTGGAATTCAATATCATCAGTTTTTTGTCGGTTTTTCATTGACAAGTGTTCAAAACTTATACTGATGCGCCTCCAGATTTTTCGCAACCAGATGGAGGCAGGGGCGCCGGGTTTTTGAAAACCTCGTGGGTGCTAATGTTCATGCACCATCATTTATGAGGGGAGGGGGGGGGGGGTGAACAGCCCGCCGGTGGCGAAAAAACTTCTTCAGAAGCCACGCCCAAAAACGTTTACCAGCATTCTTTAATTCACATTCGGACGAGTGTCTAAGAAGGGAATGGTAATACATTTCAAACAACCTTTCGATCCATATTCGTTTTCCAGCTGCGGGAACTAGTGTTGCTTGGTAAAGGTAAAGAGTAGAGTGTTTTCACAGCTATCAGAACAATACCCACTTCTACCACGTAAAAGCACCCCTCCATTATTCTATTTTCAAAAGGCGCCACCGATCTAGAGATTTTCCCACGGTATCGAAAAACTTCCCAGGCTCAAGTGCCCCCAGCTATCAGACTAGCAGATTCACAAGCAAAATATTTATTATTGCAATAAAACTAATGCACCTGTTTATGACCAATACTCACCTCACAGCTATCAGAGCAATATCCACCTCCACTACTTCAAAAAGCTTCTACTCTGAAGAGGTACCTCTTTTCATATCCCTTCACTTTCTTGAAAACTAAAGAATATTTCAACAATTCCTGCATTTGTATTCGTCAATAGTGTTCTAAACTCCATGAGATTAATTTTATTGCAATAATAATATTTTGCTTGTGAATCTGGTGGACCACTTACGTAGTAGAGGTGGGTATTGGTCTGATAATCGGGGGCACTTGAGCCTATGAAGTTCTTCGATACCGTGGGAAAATCTCTAGATCGGCGGCGCTTTTGAGCTGAAATTTTGGGGATTTGACCCAGGCCAACCCCAAAATTGACGAATTAGAATACAAATGGAATAATTGGTTAAATATTCTTTAGTTTTCAAGAAAGTGAAGGGATATAATGAAGTGCCATCTCAGGGTAAGAGCCTTTTGAAAATAGATTAATGGAGGGCTTTACGGAAGAGGGTTTACAGTGCAGGTGGGTAAAAAGTGACTCCTCAGGGTAGGAGTTTCACGGAAGGGGGTACAGTGGAGGTGGGTAGTGGTATGATGGCTGTACTGGAGGGGGGTTTTTACGTGGTAGAGGTGGGTATTGGTCTGATAGCTGTGAAAACACTACTGTAAAGTGTGGAAAACTCTCCTGCAGACATTCTTTTCCAAGCTGCATGTACCGAAAATCTACGTTTTATGCTGTTCTCCATAAAAGATTTCTGATTTTCTTCACCTTCTTCTTCTTCTAAACAAAGTACCACCATGTTCCGATATCAACTGCCAGTACTGATTTTACTCTGCTGATTTTACTGTCATTTGCCATTCCAATTTCAACAGGGTACTCTTGTGGTCATTCAGTACTGAATCGACTGAATCCAGTATACTGAAAATAATATCGGAACGGCGTCCAGTGAATTCAGTAGGTACTGACAGAGTTGATATATATCGGAACATAACCTATATAAGGCTATGGTCCAAATATAACCAAACGTTAACCATTAGCTCTGTTCCAACAGACATGAGAACTGTTCCAGAACCAATAAATTTCAGTTTTCCACCTATTTTTCAATAAGTTGAACGTTTTTCCTGAATGACAAATGGATTGATCCACTGGAAATTACCGTTCTAGAAAGGTTTTCATGACTGCTGGAACAGAGCTTAAGTAACCGAATCGGTCAACAGATGTTTACTGAAAATTGGTTACTTTGGGGAACGCAAATATGGAAATAAAACATAATTGACAGAAGTTACAGATAAAACCTTGATAAAACCAACAGAACTGACATCCGATGGTCGGTAACTATTTTGACATTTGGTTAATCAGATTTCAGGAACTCGAGGTACAAAATTAACCAGTTTTCCAGGAACTAGAGAGTATTATCAGTTTTTATTTTTATGTCTATGCTCGTGGGTGCTTAAGCCCCTGAGCACCCACGTAGTCGGCGCCCCTGGATGGTTTTGCTGAGATTCAGTGTCTATTGGTGGCAGAGTTTTTTGTTTTTTTCTGTGTATTCCATAGTTGGTTCCACGACTATTAACTTTTTATAAGGTCCACCTGGTGGTCCGGGTAAGGCTACTTACTTTGGGAGGTCACCCGGTATCCCAGAGGTTCCGTAAAAGACATCTGTTTGGGGCACATATGCCGCTCATCCCTTGGCACGGGACACGTAACACCTTGGATTAAGCCCCTGCCCCATTAACCGCACAGGCGTTTTCAGCTTAGCCATTACAGCTAGTAATGGGATAGGGGATGGGCTTTAAGCCAGTTTTCAGGTAGTTAACTTTTGAAGGAAAATGTATTGGATTTTAAAAGTGTTTTTGAAACCTTTATAAGAATAATTATTCCTTACTAAAAGTTCCAATTATTATAATAATTTATCAAAACAACAAGAAAATTCAAATATCATTTATTCGCTTTTCAACATTTAAAATTACTATTACAATAAAAACGATTCTATATTGACAAAAGTACAAAAATCAGGGATTGTCAAGCTCTTATAAGAAATACACACATTTATATTAAAATTTTAAAAAAATTGCACTAAAATAATTAAAAATTCTTTGGTATAAGGTTCATATCTATAGAAATTCAATAATTAATTACATTGGGTAAAACATCAAAAGCAACCGTTCATATCAGTCAAAAATATAAAAATTCAGGTGTGCCAACTAAAAAATAGCTGCAACATTTCCTAACATTAATTTGAATAAAAATAATGTACCAGATATTAAAGTTGATCTACACGTATCTAGTGTAGCTGAATTAGAACTGAAACGCCAATGAGACTACTGGATACATGTAAATCCACCTTTAATCATACAGATACAGTTATTATTCAACACCCTAAATATGTTTATAAATTTTAAAAAATTATAATTTTTACTCGTTCCACTTTTAGTGCAAAAAAACTAACCCTTAAATGATGTTATTGTCCACCAGATGTCTATTCCTTAATCCTACTATACATTACTATTATATTATGTACAAAACTAATTCGTTTTAATTTAAAACATTTTAAAATTGCAGAAAAATCAATAATATCGTCTACAATAAGTCATTAAAATATAAGTTCCTGTTAGCTAATTATTGAGGTATTTGTTAACTAACATAGTGTCTTCGTTTTTGATAATATCTTTGTCCTTTTTTAAAAATTATAAAAAGAAACACTTTATGGTAAAAATCAAATCAGTCAACCTAATATTAATAATATAATAATTCCAATAATTTGATGTTGAGAAAGATTGACTAAATCTGACAACATTGTATTCTTGTTCGTTTAGTCTCAGATTCTTCCTCTCTAGATGGCACAAAAAAAAAACGTAACTATGAACCATTATTGACAATGAGAAATGAGTATTATTATGTGGTTAAATTTGTCAATAATAACCCAATTATTCAAACCTAAATTAAAATAACGTGTCTATAACATTTTAATTATGGCAGCACTGTAGCAAGGAAAGTGTCAAAACAAGTTTGACATTTATAACTGTCACTTTTATCCAATCCACACATTTTCTATCTTTGTTTGACTCACACCGTTTTTTTGGCCCTGTGTCATTTTCTGTCTTCGTTTGCATCATCGATTTTATCCCAATCAAACCCAGTGGGGTTGTTTTTCCCATTCAGCACCCCTAAATGCTCAAACCTTTCCTCAAAATCCCCATCCCGCGATTTCAGCTTCTCAAACCTGGCCAGCAACAGCTTTTTAGCAAAATTATACAACGCAATATCCAAACTGTTCAGTTCAGCAATTTTGGCTGATTGCTCAGCAGTCAAAGTTGTCAAAGTAGAGCTGGAAACTGTCGAGTTGTTTTGCTCAAAGGGTATGGCGAAGCGCAGATTAAAAGTTTCCTCGAAAATGTATTGGGAGATTTTTTGAAGCTCGGTGAGACCGAAAAAGGCCATCGATTGGAGATTCTTTTTGGCGCTGGCCAGCATTATACGGTCCCTGTCCGATTTTGACATGTATGACTTGTCATAACAACCTAAGAATTGACAAAATTAATTTACAGTGTCAAATTTGACAGTATTACTTCAAACGTTAACTGTCAAAAAAAATATGAATGCAGAAGTGAAATAAATCAGAAAATTTCTCACCAACTAATTCCAAATCTGCCAACATCCTCGTTTGCCTATTGGCAGCCAGATTACCGTCGCAATTGATAAAGTCGTTAAGCTCCACCCCCTCCCAGTTTTCGCCGTCGTAACACGGCGGCACCTCTTCCAAAGTGGCGCTGCGCCCTTTGCAAAAGTGCCGCGCCCCTTTCCAGGTGGCGCCGCGTTGCACGTGACGAAATTCCGATAAGTACCTGAAAGAAAATGTTTTGACATTGACAACCTCTACATCTTGTCAATAGGCAAGGTTAACTATCCGATGACATTGTTGACAGAAGCTCACATGATCTTTCATTTGAAGTTACAAAACTAGTCACATGGTGGTTCTCATTTTTTCGTTCAAGGAATATTAGCCAAACTCTACTAGTAATTCTTACCTGGATACTGGCTCTCTCAATAAAGTAATATAAAAGTAGCGTCTTTTGACAACATCTTCAAGTTCGTCTAATTTTTCGTCGACGCATCCGGTCAACTCGGTCCAATCAGCGTGCAGTCCGCACTTCCAGCCGGTCGTGTACCGGCTAAACAGCCAACTTTGATTGGAATGAGGCCGGAAACAATAGCACCTTTTTCGGGTTAAAGGGCACTTGCAGGGGCGTTTCAAGTCCAAATCGTGTACCAGGTGTTTTCCAAACGATGTACCACCTGTAGAAGAAACAAGTTGGAACTTGAAGTGTCATAGAAACTGCCAGAATGGACCTTTCTCATGCAATGAACAACAAGGATGATTTATTAAAATTTCTGTAATAAAGAAAAAGACACATAATGACGCGTGGTACCTGTGTGGAATGACTTTGATTGATTGGTTCCACTTGTCAAATTGTGCAATTTGGGTTATGTTTTTGTTTATTTTTAAACGTAAATATGACAAATATGTAGGGGAAAATTTTGAGAAGTACGAATTTGCAAGTGCCTTTAATTGTACAATTATGATTGTATTTGATATAGAAATCGTTATTTTACGAACCCCTCAAATCTCTGTTCCAACTTAAATCGTCTTCAGTCAGGTTGAGAGTTGAGAGCAAGTAACCATTATTTTCTTAAAATTTGATTGCTTATAGGAACCTGTAAAAAGAAAGGTCTGACTTCTTTTTTGCCTCACTCTGGTTGTATAATGAATAGTTTTTGTAACAATTTTCAGCAAAATTAGGCACTAGCTAACGTCACACACATAACCTCACTGCTGTTGGGGGGACAAACAAAGCGTTTGAAAGGTCTATTTAACACCATAGAAAAGTGATTTATATTCTTGATATAGAAGGCTCACTTCTGTTGTAGTCGGCCAGTGACATTTCCGACGGTGCTACTATAGCGGTGTAGTCATTGACATTTCAATTATTTCAAAATAAGGCAGTGCTAAAATTTTATTCATTTTATTTTCATATATTTATGTGAGAATCACTCAAAGAATAGAATAGTTTATAATCTATTCATAGATGATCTGGCGTATCTGACTCATCTGACAGCAGGAGCATTTTTCAATCTGCTTTTTGAAAATGTCCATTTTTTTTTTCCAGTTAAAAGGCTGTCATATTTGATCAAGTTATTTATAATTCCCTCGAACATTTATGGAAACATCATACAGTGATACGATTTCTATGTTGTTTATTTCCAACAAAATCAAAATTTCTGTTTCTGTGTTGTTTTTGATGTAGATTTCCCTGGTCTGTGGTTGCAATTCGCTTTTGGCTTATTCATTTTTTTGCCGCCTGGTCACACACTGTGGCAACAACTCTTAAACCGGCTGCTTATGATGATGCACTTATCATTTCTTTCACAGTCTTGGAATTCAAAACAATCATCGACAATGCACTCAACAAATTAATTCAGATGACAAGATGACATTTGCATTATGATGTTAAATGGACACCTGCATTTTTATGACTGGTTTTTATATACACGACGATTCTATGTCGGTCATTGTCATTTTCGATTCACTAAACAAAGATAGCTAACTCATCGGTGAAGTCAGAGATTAGAATAAGAACGAGGGGGACGTTAAGAAACGGCGATATGGGCGCACAGCGGTGTAGTCACGAACTAAAACAAAAAGTGGCGGGGATGAATCCAGTGAATGTTCTATTTAAGAATTTATAAATCACTTTTCTATGTTTAACACACAGGCGCTAGCTTGTCACCAATGACATAACGTGACTTTCGATAGGTTAGCTTGAAAAACGTCAGGGTCAGACCGCGTTCCCGCGTTCATTCAATTGACAATTTTATTATCTGTCACCCACAAGCGGCGCGCGCAGCACAGGTAAAATGAGAAAGGTCCATTGTCATAAACATAAAACTTTGTACTTTGAACGTTATATAATCTTATAATCATGTCAAATGTCATAGATGTAGATTAGGGAATCCAAAACACGTCACATTGCCTACCAATCGGCATTATGAAATTTTTCGAAAACGGATTATGTTTTGCGCCATGATGACGTACATACACCTACTGACCAATAGGATGCAGACAAAGCGGCGATGCCAGATCCCACATCATCTTCTGAATTTTGGATTTTTTTTTTCAAAAATACTTCCAGGAATCTGAGCAACTTGAAACTTCCAGGAATTTATAATTAAAGCCTTTTCTTCAAACACAACAAATCTGAAGTCAATCTGAGCCTCAGAGATAGAATAATGAATTTTTGAAAAAATCCTTGTGAAATTCTTAACAAATCAACCGAGGGGCTTTTCACCCAAGGAAATCGGTGTACAAATTCTTGGAAATAGCTAGAAATATTCGGAAATACCTAGAAATACCTGAGAAATATCTAGAAATACTTGGTAATACCAATACCTTGGGGAATACCTAGAAATAATTTGAAATACTTGGTAATACGTGCCGAATAATGTGAGAAAACAGTATTTTTATGAGCTTCCTGAGCGCTGCTTTTTTCTCAAAAATTACTTTTTTCAAATTATTACAGTCCAACTTAGTTTTATTTGATTGTGAGAACCTTGGTGAGAACTTATTGAATGGTACTTAAGTGTGTACAGGGTGTCTAAATTCGAGCAATATTATCGGGATATTGGAAACGGTAAGAGATACAGGGTTGGTTAAATTATGGCAATTTCATGCTTAACAAAATATCGTTTTGAAAATTTCCGAATAGTTCCGGAAATATTGGAAATAATCCGAAATTTTACAGTGTTTTTATTTTTTTCTGAGCTTATTTAGAGAGATATTTCAAAATAAATGTTACTCTATCATTGGCACTTTTTCTCCTGCACAAGATGCTACTATCAAATTTAAAATCCGATGTTTTGTCTTTGGGCCACCATCATTAACTTAATTTTTTTAAATATGACCCTGGATTTTTTATTTCAGATTTTAAGAGCTTCTGATGTTCCAAAACCTATGACATACCGCATTTATTCGAAAAGATATTCTTTTTAGTAATTTTCTACCAAAATTCTCTTCTCTGCCTCTCTCTTACACATTTAGTTCTTATGGAAAGTGCCAATAATATAAATTTTTCGAATAAGTGCATTATTGTGCGTTATTGGTTTTGGGACATCACAAGCTCATAAAATCTGATGTTGATGATGTTGGATCAAAGACGAAACGTCAGATTTTGAATTTGATTGTGACATCTTGTAGAGGAGAAATAGTGGCAATGATAAAGAGAGATTTATTATTTATTTTGGGATATCTCCTCAAATAAGCTCAGAAAAAAATAAAAACGCTTTTGTAAAATTTCGGATTATTCCCAATATTTTCGGAACTATTCGGAATTTTTAAATTTTCAAAACGGTATTTTGTGAAGCATGAAATTGCGAAACCCTGTATATCTCTTACCGTTTCCAATATCATAATGATACTGCTTGAATTTGGGACACCCTGTATATATTTTAAGAACCATTTTTATCTTATTTATGTTTGGCAAAAAAATTGCCTTGTTGTGTAGAAAATTGTTTCCCAGTGTATTGAAAATAGTTTGAAATTTAAATTTTTTTTTGTCCTTGTCGAATTGCTGATCCATGTATGTGGTCTCTCCAAAGTGACGTCAACAGGCGTGCATGCGTGAAGCAGTTGTAGACAAATCTATAGGAAATTTGATACCCTATACATATGTGTTTATTGACCTCATGCAGAATTTTTCTTTTTGTCCACAAATACCAAATATGTTCTTTGCTACTCACCAGCTTTAGTAATGGTTATTTTTTTAAAAGCATGCGTAAAACGCCAGTTTTCCGCACGCATTTTAATTCGAAAACTATCTTTGTCCCGCACGCCGTACGAGAATTTTTTTATTCTGCACGGCGTGTGATAGAAAAATACTTGGAAATACCTGGAAATACTTATAAATACTAAGAAATACTCCGAAGTACTTGGAAATACTAGGGAATACTTGGAAATACTTAGAAATACTCGAAAATACATGGAAATACCGTGCATATTAAGAAAAATTGATTTATTTATTTGTATTGATTGTTAAGATGTTCAAATCGTTTAATACATATTTACTTCCATATTTTTTGCATTCTCATACGTGAAATAATCCTCTAAATACCACTTGAGCTTTAAAATGAACCAGAAAATTTTTCACTCATGCGTGTTTTCTCTGCAAATTTCACTCGTCCTACGGACTCGTGAAATTATAGAAAACACGCAATCGTGAAAAATTATCGGTAATTTTGCAGCTCTCGTGGTATTGTGGTATTATCCCCGAAAATACTTCCAGGAATCTGAGCACTTTCAAGAATTCATAATTGAAGTCTCTTCTTCAAACTAGTTCAAACACAACAAATCTGAAGTAAATCTGAGCCTCAGAAATAGAATTATGAATTTTTCTAAAAATCGTTGTAAAATTCTTAACAAATCAACTTTGGAATTTTTTCAAAAATACTTCCAGGAATCTGAGCAACTTTAAACTTCCAGAAATTCATAACTAAAGTCTTTTCCGAGGGGTGTTTCACGGTCGAAAGTAGGTGTACAAATCTCAAAATAATTTCCGGAAATGTTGAGAAATTACAGAAATTTTCTGTAAATTGTCACAAATTATGTTAATTCTCAGAAATTATAGGAAATGTTTGGAAATTTTGGGAAATGTCAGAAACTGTTAGGAAATTATTTGAAATATTGGGAAATTTTTCGAAATTATAGAAAATTTACTGAAATTATTATAGGAAATTAGGAAATTTTCACCAGAAATCTTTGAGAACTTTTGTATTTCGAATATTGTTCAGTTCCTGTTCAGTGTTTTGTGAATAAAAATATTTAACTGCTAACAAAATAAAGGTAAGTAAGTAGGTTGGTACCTATGTACAGGGTGATCCAGTATAAAGTAAACACCCCCTACCTTTTCGCTAAAAAAAATAATTTTTGAAAAAAACAAGATAGCCATTTAGTGTATTTTTTTTCTAGGAATTTGAAAACGTTTTCCGAAATTTAATTAGATTTTTCGTTGAACCGCTGTGACCAAAAAAGTAATTTTTTTTTAAAGAAATAACATATATTTAAATCAATTTTTTAAACGCCCTTATTTTTCTCATTTCAAATATATAGTTTGTTCAGCTCTATTTTAGTAATTTGCAATATATTCTCACTTTAACATTCACATAAAAATAGCCAAAAAGGTATCATAGAACATAATAACCAGTAGTTTTATTAGAGGTAAAATTATTTAGATTTACCTTGATAC